GGCGGTGGGGTGGGCGAACTAAAAGTGCACCGCGTGTTCCGGGGGGTGGGGGCGCCAGAGCGGCCCGCGTCGCGACGCGCAGCGCCGGGACGGAGAAGCAGGCCGGCCGGCGCCGATCGGAGGTTCCGCCAGGACGTGGCGGATGAGGAAGAGGCTGAGGTAAAGTGGTGAGTCGAACGGGAGGCTGGGAGGAGGGTGGGTCGCCACGAGGGCACGAGGCCACGAGGTTGGCACGCGCCCCGTGCAACGGCTCGTTCCTACCAGAGTCCGAGGAGTCCGGCTGCTGAGCCGAGAGATGCACCAGCCCCACCTCCTGCTCTCCTCATCTCCTCATCTCCCGAGCACACCTTGCATCCTTGCGAATGAATGGGAGAGGGAGGGGGGGGCGCGCGCACGCGCGCGAGGGCCTGGTGGCGCACGGTGCACTTCTGGAAGTGAATGCAGGGTAGAGGTGCAAGCAAAGTGCATCCCGGCCGGTGCTGGACCAGGGGGGTCAATCTCATTGTATCGCGAAACCTGACCGTGCTGTGCGCGCCGCGAGGTGCATCGGCCTTGTTATGCAAATCGGCAAAAGTGCAAGCGCCAAATGCGGCCGACTGGCCGAACTCGAGGAGTCCTGTGTTTCTGTGCATCCGATGCATTTTCACCAAGCCGGATGCACTTTGCGACACGTCACTCCCGACTGACGTCGTGTCCTGAGCCGCCCTTCCTGACTCCTTCTCTATTTCGCTTTTACCTCAATTTACCTATTTCGGTCTGTTTACCTGTAGGGAGCCCCCCTCCCTCCCGGCCTGTCAACCGCCGATTCTGATTCCGAGTTGAAGTTGAACAGACGTTTCGAGGCTCCTGACCTTGGTGGGAGAGGAGGCTGTTCGTATTTACGGGATGCACACGGGATCCACGGGATGCATATGCGTGCGTATAGCTGCCAATCGGGAACTTCCACTGGATTGGAAGGCTCGGCGGAACGGATGCAACGAGCACGTGACTCAATTGTCATACTCGGGCACGAGGTGGACTATTCCTTTTTGGAGATGGCCAATTTGCGGTTGAGGATTCAAAATAAAGAAATGCACGTGGTGCCTGCGGTGCCGCCGCCTCTTCCACGCACACAGTGCTGCACGAATACTTGTGCTCGAATTGCTCAGCGAAGGAGCCACCAGCCCACCCCACAGGCCCGGCGGCTTCCTCTCAGTGCGGCTGCAGGGCAATTTACTGGAATTGCGGATCGAATAGAGAGACAAGAGGGAAAAAGGAGTAAGGAGGAGCACCAAATAAGAATGAGAGAGAGAGAGAGAGAGAGAGAGAGATCAGGAATGTTAAGAGGAAAAGGTCCTAGCCGAAATCTTGTAGATATTATGACCGCTAGGGGTGCCAGGGCTGCCAACCTTGTCGAAACTAGTTCCTTTAGCAACTCTCGGCGTTCCTTCTTTTCTCTTTTCTTCTTCGTCTATTCTTTTCTCTTCCTTTCTTTTTCCCCCTGCCCGCCCTATTTCTCTCCTATTCTTTTATTTTTTCTTCATCATCGTGTCTCGAGCCTCTTGTACTTTACATTTGAAACATATCGGCTTATATGGAAATTAATGTTTAGCCGTGCATCCGAGCTAAACATCTCATTGGTCATTACTTGCTCTTCGCTGCGGGCAGCTGACAAATTGGCAAGGGGAGGATTATAGGTGGGTCCTGTGTGCGTGCTTGTGCGAGAGAGAGAGAGAGAGAGAGAGAGAGAGAGAGAGAGAGAGAGAGAGAGAGAGAGAAGAAATAAATAAGGAATAGGAAAGAGGGTCAATCGGTGAAAGGGTGTAAGAGTGAAAGGGTGGAGGCCCCGTCATCCCCTCGGAGACTCCATACATCCGTACCCCCTATATACCATAGATACCAGACAACTAGATTCTCTGGCAAGCATATAGCAACTCGCCGGAAGTGATAGGCGACTGCACTCGACTGGTTCGTTTGCCTCCCCTTTGCCATCCCTCTGTTCTTTTATTTTTTTACCCTATCTCTCTCTCTCTCTCTCTCTCTCTCTCTCTCTCTCTCTCTCTCGCACAAGCACGCACACAGGACCCACCTATAATCCTCCCCTTGCCAATTTGTCAGCTGCCCGCAGCGAAGAGCAAGTAATGACCAATGAGAAGGATAACTCGCACACATTATTCATATGCATATATATATCCAAAGGTATCGATCATTATCGAGCAATAATTGATTTCTTTTCCTGGTCGATTACACTAATTGAGTAACTCCCTGCGCGTATCACGGTCCGAGTGTGCTGATCCGCGATATGCCGCGTCGCTACGTCCTACGAAGAAACGCAGAGGAACAGATTGCAGTTGTGGCACGAGCGAGCAGAGTCCAAAGAAAAGAAGCAGCAGCCTGTTTGGCTGCGAGTCGGTTCGGTTAGGCCGAAGGAGCGTTTGGCGCTGAGCGGCTGAGCGGCTGAGCGGCTGAGCAGTTCAGCCCATGTAGTTTCTTCGACAGAAGGCAGGTGCCACATTTTTTTGTCCCTCCGAGGCTCGCTTCGACCGAGAAGGCTGCTCGTTGCGCCTGCCACTTCAGCGGCTCCCAAATATGTCTCAATGAGAGAACGATCGGTGGGTAATGGTATCGAGGAGAGAGCGGGAATTTCAAATTTTAAGTAAAACCAAAATCAGATTTACACGCGTGCCTGATAACTGTTGATAAGATTACTACAGAAATACGATATCATTTTTTTTCCAGAATAAATTTATAAATTTTTTTATTACGTCGTTTCGCTCGTAAACAGTCATGCTCTGCTCGCTTCGGTATGCCAGTCGAATGAGAATTGGCGACAGGCGACGTCGAATGGCGGTTTTAATGGACCAGTACGTATTTTTGACCATTTTCACGTCCAGCGAACGTAGGTAGGGATAAGAATAGAAATTGATTTTGACAGTTTTAAGGAATAAGAGATTTTGGGGTTAAAAATGAAATTGAGTTCCACTGGTGCTAATCCCGATTATTTAACGTGACCATACTCGCGGGAGCTTACACCGAAAGCGCACGCGCGGGTTCATCCTCTCATTATGCTTGCGTTACACGCGATCTTCCCGATAGCATGAACCTAACCTAACCATATCCACGAGACACCCGTTCCTATCCCTCTTAGGACCGATAGTCGTCTTGCCACCCCTCTGCCTCCCTGCCGAATTGGCCTTGTGGTCCTCCTTCCCGATTTCCTCTTCCTCTATCCTTCCTTCTCTTTCCTCCTCTTCCTCTCTCACTACTTTTTTATCCTCTTATCCATCCACGCGACGATACCTCTCGCGAGAGGCCGTGCTTATAAATAGGGATAATTACGGGCTCGCGCAGTAATTGTCCACTTAAATTAGCAAAGGATCGTGCGAAACGAGTCGAGGCCGAAGTGGGCTGAACGCCGTAACCGTGGCGGTTCGGATGAGCGAAGGAGAGATATGAAAATTCGAGAAAAGACGATGAGAAAAAAAGAAAAAAGAATCCAAGTGAAAAGAAGGTGAAAAATTTTGGAAAATTTTATTTAAAAAAAAACTCACCGTTTTTTGGCTCCACCGGCTACGGATGGTTCGACCACTAATGTAGATCCAAGATAGTTGTATCCTGTAAGTAGAATAAAGGAATTTAGTTAATTTTATAAAAAAAAAAAAAAAAAAAAAAAAAAAAAAAAAAAAAAAAAAAAAAAAAAAAAAAAAAAAATTACTGATCGGAAGTCGATATGAAAAGTTTGTTCGAAATTAAAGGTAAGATTGGAAGCAACGGTTCGTCACGCTCCGCTCGGCACACTTTGGCAGCAGGTGTGTCCGTAGGGATTACGGCGGAAAATCGTGATCGATTGTCGATTAGAGATCGATCGTGATCGTGATTCAGGATCAAAGTTAAGTTATCAGATCTTCGATAGAAGCTCGTCCAGCATCAATGGGTCCGGCATGCTCTAAAGGATGGGAGCTACGTCCTGTGATTTTTCCCATGGTTCCCTATGGAAAAACCCGTGGCTTGATATGGTAAACCATAGGTGTAACAAAACGGTCATCCACCGAGCTGGTCAGACAGCAACAGCTTTTTCCAAGGCACGTCCGTCGTTCTGGGTTAGATTTCTAAGCACGCGGTCCAGAATGGACGGAATCGCACGTTGTCCGTCCCGTATCGTTCACTCATATTCTAATCAGGATCAAGAGGTTATGTGAACGTATCTAAGGACGGGCTCTCGGGGTTCAGGATTCCGCGCCCCAGCGTCGCCCCAATCTCCAGGACGACTAGTTATCCACGCGTATTTCCTTTCCTTTCCTAGGTGTGCGCCAGGTGTCTCTTCTACCGGTCGACCCATCTAATTTCCTAACCAGTTCTACCTGCGTCACGAGAAAAATTCCAACTATTTGCCTCGTCGGTCCCTTTTCCTCCTGTGACCGTTTGGCCAGGCCAGCACGAGGCGTCTCTGCTATGCAGACCTCGTCGAAGACGTCCTGAGGACATCCTGAGGACCATTGGAAAATTGAATGGGTGCCACGACGGATTGAGACCCATAGGGCAGGGCTCCCGTGTAAGGGGTGTATTAAAAAAAAGTATGAAGAATCAGACCAAAGTGGATTAACACGTGGACAGATAGAGATGGAAACTTTTTATTTCGAAGGATTTGATTTTTTGGTATTTCTGCGGGCAAGTGATATTTTGAAGCTGGAAGATTGGCAGACGCGGAGGAGACTGCAGGGCATGGGGTGGGTCACGCGTGGCTGCTCGTGTAAAGGTAAAATGGCTACAGGGCATTTCAAAAGTAGCGCGACCGGCAGGTTTTGTTGACAAGCGCCCGATAGGAATCTGAAAATTTATTTAGAGTATGCCGAGCACAGGGTGGCATGGACACGGGGCTGAATGGGCCATGCGAAAAATAGGGAGATCTCACAATGCCGTGTGTGGCGAGTGGCGGAATTGTTCGCGAGGAGTCCATTAAATGCAGCGGAATGCTGGGTACAATGAGGTACCTAGGTAGACAGGGAGTGTATACCGGGGAGAGACTAGCTTGGGAATTGGGAATGAATTTAAAATACGGGTATGAATCCTCGGGCGAACGGGAGAGTGAACTAGGCGAAGAGGAGGAAAGTGAAAAAGAAAGAAAAAAGAAGAAGGACTAGATGGCTACTTAGAATGTCCCGTACGTGTGACGAGGGACCCTTTCCCTCTCTCTCTCTCTCTCTCTCTCTCTCTCTCTCTCTCTCTCTCTCTCTCGAAAAGATTCGACCGTCGGTTCCTGTCCGACATTCCCCGCATTCCCTCCTGTTCCTCGCGCAGGGCAACAGGTTTCATGCAAAAGGCAATTGGCAGCAAAGTGTCAAGAGATCGGATACAGCGTTTACGAAGGTTAAAAAGTATTTTCGCCTGGGACATTCCAGCGTCCTGTAGGAGTACGATAAAAGTCTTTTTTTGTCCCCGAGGCAAATTCCACCGGAGGCTGCCGACCTTTACGAACGACGGGCAGCCCTAAAGCCAGGCCTGGGGGTTCCCATGAAATCCCATGAATCGCGAACGATTTCACGTTCACGGGAGTAAAAGTTCCTGCACGCCTGCACGAGGCTTCCGTTCCAGGAGGCTGGCACAGGATCACCGGAAAATCCAGGGTGTCGGCGTGACGAGATCAGACGAGTCGAAACCCAAGAGGGGTTAGCCTGGCCGACACGGAGAGGACCCACGCTACGAATTCTCGGAAATGAAAAAAAAAGTCAAAGGACCCAAAAGCAGACACCCCCCCCTATCTTTCTCTCACTACGTCGTTACGCACTGTCACCAAATTATGCAACGCCTCTCCTCGCTCGGCGATCACCCGGAAATTTATCTGTTCTCTCCAAAGCGTCTCCATCATCCTCGGCAAGATCATCGCGTGCATTATCTGGCAGATCCGTGATTAACGGCTGCGTCGTTCTCTCGCCGGAACTCTTATGAGATCCCTAAAAATGTCCGATAAATGACGTGTCGTTAAAAGAAAAAAAAAAAAAAAATAACATAACCAACCTGGGCCCTTGGCGCCACGTACGGGACACCCGGTATATAGCTCAAATATACCGACATCGCATGGGGCGCGCTGGCTAAGAAATGCAGAAACAGCAGTTGCTATGCTAGGTGGTAGGTACCTATTCTTCCTCCAATACAGACGCATCTCTAAGCAGCGGCAAAGCGCGACGACGAGGACGAGGAACAAGCGCGCATGGACGCGCATGGACGCGCGAGGGATCCTCGCTCGGAGATACGTCTACGAATGGCTGGCATGTGCGTGTAGGTAGGAGAGTAAGGGAAGAGAGAGAGAGAGAGAGAGAGAGAGGGATAGCGGGGGAGAGAGAGAGAGAGAGAGATGTCCCAGGCAGTAGAAAAGTGAGAGAATTTTGTATTGAGAGTGAGAGTGAGTCCGCAGTGGGTTTTAGGGTGTGCTGCTCGTGAGTCCGGAGAGTCGGGGCTGAACGAAGCAAGTTTTAGGGAGCCGGTGGATACGTGGGCAACTGGGCAAGAGAGTAGGTTAGGAGGCACGAGGTACCTGAGGGAGACGGAGAGAAGGTATTTTTGAGGGTTAGGAGCAGGACAGCAAGTGCCTTTATAGTGGGTCACTACTAGCCGGCACCCGGCCGGGCGAGTAAGCCTCAAGGTCTTTGGTGCTCCCCTAAGCGAAAACTCTACCAGGTAGGTGAGTCCTAGTGAGTTGGTGAGTGAACGAGCTTAGGTATGTAGGCAGGTAGGTAGGTATAGATCGAGGTTTATACCTACCTAATATATATTCATTCCTTCATCTATTTCGGCAGCATTGCCGAGTTTCTATTCTGTGGTGAATTGCGCGTTGGGGATAATATACACTGAGATTCAAAGAATGGAGATGAGATGATGAAAAGTATCTTGAGAGATGAATGTCCTCGGGAGGGATATTGTGATGATTGCCGGGTGATTGATCTGTTTTTTAAGATAAGATTTCGAATTCAACGATTTAGCGAATGTGAAATTTAGATTTTTATTTTTATTTATTATTTTTTTTTTTTTATAGAGACAGGATTTGAACTTTCTGTTACGTTTCCTGTTCTCTTGGTCATGCTGGTACGCAGGATGGAAAAACCGGAAACGCTAGTCTCTAGGCTAACCCTCGATGAGTTTCCCTTTCGAGTTGGTAGATTTTGTCTAGGGGATGACATAACGGGGTGTTTGAGAGGAGCACTGGCTCCATGGGGAAGTAATGAAATATTTTGGTTGCGCGGTTGCCAATGGGAATGGGAATGGGAATGAGAACAGGTTCCTGTTGTGCATTCCAGTGAGATTCTGAATGACCGATCCTTTGGACACGGCGGTTAGCGCTACTAGGTACATAAATTGTTATTTCGTTGGAAATTATCATAGACATTGTCACCACGAGTCATACGGATTTAATGAAAATTTTCATACTTTCTGTAAAATAAATATAAGATTCAATCAGTATTTGATATTATTTTACGTTTGTTTAAATAACAAAAAAATTCATAAAAAAGCTCATTTGTCTATAGACATAAAATGGCGCTTTTAATCCATCCAACTCGCAACGGGATATTCTATTAATTTGGCAGTGACAATTCGTCAGGGTTGGATACCAGGAGCGGCTAAAACGAAAGGCCAATGGCGGCACTAGACAAAAGACAATAAAACAAAAGCCAAAAGACAAAAGACGAGGCCGTTGAGATCTTTCTCGGGAAAATTCATTGAACAAAGGGATAACTGGAAAGGTTTCAAGACGGGAAATACGAAGAAGAAGTATATTCAATATAGTTTAAATACACATACCGCAAATGTATGAATACCATCAGGTGAGTAAGTGTGTTTAGGACAGAAAGAAAATAATGGCGCTGTCCACGTTATGCGAAATGAGATCGTATAAGAGTCAGACGAATTATACGGTCAAGAACATAATTCGGCGTTTCGGTTTGAGCTTCTTTTAAGCGTTCGGTAGAGAAAGAAAAAGGTGAGTAAAAATCGGCCCGAGAGACGGCTTGGCCTTGTGGCATACTTCTCTCCCTCTCAGTTGAGCGGCCGGCTCTCAGCGTGAGAGCCGTTCAGACTAAGAGAGCACGAGAACTGCCAGAACCACAATGGATTACTTAGGTGGGTAGGTTAGTTTGCCGAATGAGCCGAACGAACGGAACGAACCGAGCGAATCGAGAAAGCCGAATGAACGAACCCACGCATGTTAAGATAGGTCCTGACTGCGAATCCCCAGGCTCGTCGGCTACACTCGGCAACACTCGAGATCCTTTCTGTCTCTTTTGCTCTCCTCCATCCATTATTACTTTGACATAGTTACACTCGATTCCTCTCTCTCTCTCTCTCCTCTTGTGTCCCTTTTGAGACCCTTGACCTCTCTGTTTTTCAATTTCCTAACGTTCCTTCGAAATTCCGTTTTGTCGGTCATTTTCTTAAAAATTTGTTTCTCAACCTCGTTATTTCTTGTACTCACTTTTTCTATTTATATCCGCTTTCCTTAACAAGATTCACTGACTGCTGTGCCTATTTCTATCACTGCTTGAGTTTCTGCGAATTATTATTCCTCTAATATCATCGCACGTCAAGGAAATCCTCACTGCTCAGCACTTTCGACGAATCGCTTC